CTGGGTGGTTGTTGTCTACCAACCTACTACCACAGGATGGTAGTACCACCCTGGGTGGTTGTTGTCTACCAACCTGCTACCACAGGATGATAGTACCACCCTGGGTGGTTGTTGTCTACCAACCTACTACCACAGGATGGTAGTACCACCCTGGGTGGTTGTTGTCTACCAACCTACTACCACAGGATGGTAGTACCTCACTGGGCGGTTGTTGTCTACCAACCTACTACCACAGGATGGTAGTACCACCCTGGGTGGTTGTTGTCTACCAACCTACTACCACAGGATGGTAGTACCACCCTGGGTGGTGGTTGTCTACCAACCTGCTACCACAGGATGGTAGTACCACCCTGGGCGGTTGCTGTCTACCAACCTACTACCACAGGATGGTAGTACCTCCCTGGGTGGTTGTTGTCTACCAACCTACTACCACAGGATGGTAGTACCACCCTGGGTGGTGGTTGTCTACCAACCTGCTACCACAGGATGGTAGTACCACCCTGGGCAGTTGCTGTCTACCAACCTACTACCACAGGATGGTAGTACCACCCTGGGTGGTGGTTGTCTACCAACCTACTACCACAGGATGGTAGTACCACCCTGGGCGGTTGCTGTCTACCAACCTACTACCACAGGATGGTAGTACCACTGCTGTCTACCAACCTACTACCACAGGATGGTAGTACCTCCCTGGGTGGTTGTTGTCTACCAACCTACTACCACAGGATGGTAGTACCACCCTGGGTGGTTGTTGTCTACCAACCTACTACCACAGGATGGTAGTACCACCTTGGGTGGTTGTTGTCTACCAACCTATTACCACAGGATGGTAGTACCTCCCTGGGCGGTTGTTGTCTACCAACCTACTACCACAGGATGGTAGTACCTCCCTGAGTGGTTGTTGTCTATCAACCTACTACCACAGGATGGTAGTACCTCCCTGGGTGGTTGCTGTCTACCAACCTACTACCACAGGATGGTAGTACCACCCTGGGCGGTTGTTGTCTACTGTTGCAACCCCTGAATGGGTTACAATGATTATTATGTATATATGTAATGTATAATACCTTTTCATATAATTTTATATTGCTTATATTTGCGATAATAGCTAAATCGCAAATGTATTGCCTTATATTGTTATTTGACGTAGCTTATGTTGTTAGGATGTACATAATATTTGCTCAGTTAGTCTTGATTGTCAAACTACTGTAATTATCGCTTGTCGCTCGTTATACTGCCGGCTTCTGAGCTGCAGTTGTCCACGTAGCTATCACGTGATCGAGGGGGGGTGTCCTCACCTCATCTGAAGTATTCAGTCTGCTCGAGACTCGCTTGGTGGTTGGACAGATTGTCTGTCTCATTATTCTTGTTACTTCTGTAGAACTCTGTTCACAGAACATTGTATAGACTTTGTGATTTTCGACGTTGTACTGAGGTTGTGTGTCGCTTAGACACTCTGAGTATCTCAGGTCCTTAGCTATAGCTTCTGACCTAATTTTGTACTGGTTCCTGTGTATTGTCACAGTCACAGTTTTTCCTATGCTGAACATAGATTCAGTATTATGGGAGTTTTGTAACTTGTGGAGGATCTGCAGATGGTCCCTACTTAGTGTCGTTATATTATCTCCTTGTTCCTGATTCTGTGTCGCAGTCGCTTGATATTGCATTGCTATTGGGCTTAACATTCTTTGTTGTTCAAGCAGACTGTTCGGGTTGCCAGTCGGTCAAGAAGTTAGTGTATTTGAGGACTTTGTCAGTCACTTGTTTAAGTCTTATTCGAGTCTTGAGACATAGCTAACTACTTAAGAGCACTTACACGCATACACACACTTATTTGTACATATTTGTAATATCTTATTAAATGTTAATGTACCTGACGGTACTTAAGAATTATAAATGTGATATGTGCTTTCAGCACAATAATATTGAACTCGAGAGATTGATTTTATTTCGATTGCTGTGATTTAATTTACTTTGATAATATACCTCTAGACTTAATAAATTTATTAAATTTTAATTTCTCTAGTTAGTAGCCTACCAGTTGTAATCCTAAAGCGCTATTGAATAATACTGGTTCTAATGGATAATTGGACAAGGATACTGACTACTTGTTACGAAAACCCAGTAACAGGCTGGATGCTAGAAGGGCAGTCCTTTCTAGTATTCACTGGAGATCTCTAAGCTTTTAGAATCGCGTTTTTTGTAACATCTACCAACCTACTACCACAGGATGGTAGTACCACCCTGGGTGGTTGTTGTCTACCAACCTACTACCACAGGATGGTAGTACCACCCTGGGTGGTTGTTGTCTACCAACCTACTACCACAGGATGGTAGTACGTCCCTGGGTGGTTGTTGTCTACAAACCTACTACCACAGGATGGTAGTACCTCCCTGGGTGGTTGTTGTCTACCAACCTGCTACCACAGGATGGTAGTACCACCCTGGGTGGTTGTTGTCTACCAACCTACTACCACAGGATGGTAGTACCTCCCTGGGTGGTTGTTGTCTACCAACCTACTACCACAGGATGGTAGTACCACCCTGGGTGGTTGTTGTCTACCAACCTACTACCACAGGACGGTAGTACCACCCTGGGTGGTTGTTGTCTACCAACCTACTACCACAGGATGGTAGTACCACCCTGGGTGGTTGTTGTCTACCAACCTACTACCACACGATGGTAGTACCACCCTGGGTGGTTGTTGTCTACCAACCTACTACCACAGGATGGTAGTACCTCCCTGGGTGGTTGCTGTCTACCAACCTACTACCACAGGATGGTAGTACCACCCTGGGTGGTTCCTGTCTACCAACCTACTACCACAGGATGGTAGTACCACCCTGGGTGGTTGTTGTCCACCAACCTACTACCACAGGATGGTAGTACCACCCTGGGTGGTTGCTGTCTACCAACCTGCTACCACAGGATGGTAGTACCTCCCTGGGTGGTTGTTGTCTACCAACCTACTACCACAGGATGGTAGTACCTCCCTGGGTGGTTGTTGTCTACCAACCTACTACCACAGGATGGTAGTACCTCCCTGGGTGGTTGCTGTCTACCAACCTACTACCACAGGATGGTAGTACCACCCTGGGCAGTTGTTGTCTACCAACCTACTACCACAGGATGGTAGTACCACCCTGGGTGGTTGTTGTCTACCAACCTACTACCACAGGATGATAGTACCTCCTGGGTGGTTGTTGTCTACCAACCTACTACCACAGGATGGTAGTACCACCCTGGGTGGTTGTTGTCTACCAACCTACTACCACAGGATGGTAGTACCACCCTGGGTGGTTGTTGTCTACCAAGCTACTACCACAGGATGGTAGTACCACCCTGGGTAGTTGTTGTCTACCAACCTACTACCACAGGATGGTAGTACCACCCTGGGTGGTTGTTGTCTACCAACCTACTACCACAGGATGGTAGTACCTCCCTGGGTGGTTGTTGTCTACCAACCTACTACCACAGGATGGTAGTACCACCCTGGGTGGTTGTAGTCTACCAACTTTCCCAACTGATGTCTTCAGTAAATTAAAGTTACTCACAGGTTATGATAGAGTTCTACACCATAGACTGTTAAAGAAAGTGGCAGCTCATGGCAGTGGGGGAAAAGTGCTCTCGTGGATCGAGTCATGGCTCACTGACAGGAAGCAGAGAGTGTCCATAAATGGGGTTAAATCCGAGTGGGGATCTGTAACAAGTGGCGTTCCACAGGGATCAGTCTTGGGCCCGTTGTTGTTTAAAATATATATCAATGATCTTGATGAAGGAATTACTAGTGATATGAGCAAATTCGCCGATGACACAAAGATAGGTAGGATAATTGATTCAAACGTAGATGTTATGGAACTTCAGGAGGATTTAAACAAACTATATTCTTGGTCAGAAAAGTGGCAGATGCAGTTCAATGTAGATAAATGCAAGGTTCTGAAGCTTGGGAGTGTCCATAACCCTAGTACTTATAAGTTAAATGATGTAGAACTTAGCCATACAGATTGCGAAAAGGACTTGGGGGTTATGGTGAGCAGCAACCTTAAACCAAGACAGCAATGCCTAAGCGTACGTAATAAGGCAAATAGATTACTGGGATTTATATCAAGAAGTGTAAGCAACAGAAGTCCAGAGGTCATACTGCAGCTTTATACATCATTAGTAAGGCCTCACCTAGATTATGCAGCTCAGTTCTGGTCTCCGTATTACAAAATGGACATAAATTCGTTAGAAAACATTCAGCGTAGGATGACTAAGTTAATACACAGCATTAGAAATCTTCCTTATGAAGAAAGATTGAAGACTCTTAAGTTACATTCACTTGTTAGACGAAGAATGAGGGGAGACCTGATCGAAGTGTATAAGTGGAAGATAGGTATTAATAAAGGAGATATTAATAAGGTCTTGAGGATGTCTGTCCAAGAGAGAACCTGCAGTAATGGATTTAAATTAGATAAGTTTAGATTTAGAAAGGACATAGGGAAGTATTGGTTTGGAAATAGGGTAGTTGATGAGTGGAACAGTCTACCTAGTTGGGTTATTGAGGCTGGGACTTTGGGTAGTTTCAAATTTAGGTTGGATAAGTACATGAGTGGTAGGGGTTGGATTTGAGTGGGACTTTCACATCAGAGCTTATTTCTTGGGTAGCATTGAAAATTGGGTTGGGCAAATGTTTTGTTAGTGGGATGAATTGTAAAGGATCTGCCTAGTATGGGCCAACAGGCCTCCTGGAGTGTTCCTCCTTTCTTATGTTCTTATGTATCAGCATGGCCTGTCACAATGTACTGGATATCATACTGACTGTAGAGTAGAGAAATTACCAGCAGGTCATTGCTAACCTCAAGAAACTACACCAATCACTTTTTGAAAGGTGCTTTGAAATCACTTCAGAAACAAATTTAACCCTCACGGATTTCCATGCAGTCAGCATAGAAGAAATTGTGGCCTGACTTTGTGGCAGCCAAGGATTTTGAAGGCTTAGAAGATGAGCCTGAGCCAGTAGAGGATACTGTGTCCCTGGTGAAGACCTTGGGCCTAGAGCCAACTGAAGATGATGTGGAGGAGCTGGTGGAGGAGCAAAGAACTGAACTCACCACAGAAGAACTTGTAGACCTTCAGAAGGAGCAGCAACAAATTGCGGAGGAGCTGTTATCAGAGGAAGAGGAGGTAATGGATGATGTGCCCATTGCACTTTTCAAGGAAATGTGTGATAAACGGCGTGCAGTGCAGGAGTTTGCTGAAAAAAACATCCAGACAAAGCAGTGACCATCTGTCTCTCTAACTTGTACAATGGCAGTGTAATATCTCAATTTAGACAAGTGTTAAAATGGAGCATGAAACAAACCTCACTGGACAGGTTTTTAGTGAGACACAGAACCAGTGAGCCAGAACAAGGTGTTTGTTAGTGGTGAAAAGAGACAAAGAAGAGAAACAATAACAGAAGGACAGTTGCCTGACATACAAAAAGAAGGTGACTCTCCTTTCCAAGCAATAACATACCCCCTCCTCTCCTGCTTCCAGTGTGCCATTACATCTCCTCTGACAAATAAGAGTGTTAAATTTTCATTTACTGTGCAGTATTTCAGTTAAAGTTTCTTTTAATATTCATTTTTACAATTTTATGTAGTAGTTAGTACATTTTTAATAAATTATTATATTGTCCTTCAGGGTCTGGAATGGATTAATTCTATTTATATTATTCTTTATGGGAAAAATTACTTTGGTTGTCATCTATTTTGGTTGTTGAATTGACGTCTGGAATGAATTAAATTCGACAACCAAGATTCTCACATCATCATTGCATCAAATAGTGCTTGTTACACTGATTGCAAGTCACAGAAGGTAAGTGATATTGACTTCTGTAATAACAGGCTGTTAATACATGTAACCAGAAAATCACTTAGCCAGACCCAAGTCCTGGAGGTGGAAAGAAGTGCCTATTCTCTGAAGGATGAGATAAGATGTTGCAGTTCGGAGTTATTTTAATTCTAATGTGTGTGCATTTCTGACAAGACTGCTAATGAATGAATGATGATGAATGTTTCCTCTTATAGGTCACCCTAGTTTGAAACAGCCAGTTTAGTAAAAATAAAGTATTTATACAGTATTTGGCACATTTTCTACAATAAGTACTCCTACCATAAAGTTGATGACATTATGCAGAATTTTTTGCAACATTATGTGAACTAAACCCTCCTTTTTTAACAGAATTCACATCATAAGCATTCTCTAACCTTTCCAAAGCACCTCGTTGCTGATTGTTGTTGGTTCCATCCATTTTGAAATTCCACAATCCGATAGGTTGATCATTAAGACGAAGGTCTTCCATCTTGCCATAGAATGAAGTGCTAAGGATGGCCCTGTTAACCTGAGTACCAGCAGGAATTCCACCAACATAGATTTTTGACACTTTGGGATCAAGATTGAAGACAGAATACTTGCCAGGTAATACTTCCTCCACTGGTTCACCTTGCATTTCTTCTCGATCCACATATAACTTCACCAACTTGCCTGTTCTGCAAAAATAAATAAATAATAATCTTTATGTACGGGACATACACTAAAAACCGAATCCACTATTTTCAGATGTCTTCAAAAAAATAATAACGAAGGCCAAATCAAAGTTAAAATATTTAGTGTTAATTTCAGCTAATTTTTATTTACCTTTCAATAGTGATCTTAGTCCAAACACCATCAGCAATATACAACTTATTGCACTCAATAGTGTGTGGACCAGCCCCAAGATCCATTGTGAGCCTTACATAACCACCATCCACTTCAAGGGCCATGAAGTCATCAGTCGTGCGACACATTCGTTTACTACCTCCGACAGGTGTACCCATAAATAGAAGAAGTCCTGTTGGCTCCTCCGTTTGAGTAAACAGAGAAAGCTGTGAAAAATGAAGTAATATGTGATTCACTTTAATTAAGAGACTGAGAGAGGTATTCCTAGTTTTATTCCCATAAATCTCATGACCTCATCAATCCTTAAAAGTGAGGCTTGAATCTTTTTATAAATGTTACCTTCCTCACATTGCACCAGCAAATCATATACTAAGAATCACCTGTTTCTACTCATTTCAATCTAACGTGCTCACACGTGCCTGTTTAATTATCAAGCCCATACCACTCAAAACCTTCACTTTTTTCCTGGAACATTCCAACCACCACCTTCTATCCAACCCAAATTTTTAGTCTCTTGCTGATATCTTTCACATCACCACACTGTCCTATAAGTTTTCCTCCTTTGCTACTTACCATAATATTTACAAAAGTTGATCTTGAACACAACTTTGCCACTTTCTAAAATACTCACAATAATGTGCATCATCAAACTAGCAAAAAAATTTTACTCAGTACTGTACACGTTTCTTTGTTTAATAAATAAAAAATACAATTCTTGTGTATATTCTTACTTTCCTACATTAATATAAAATACAAGGCACCCAACAGTTACATAATTATGGTTTCATGATGTCCATCCTGTGACTGCTGATGAGCACAGATTCTCACAGGTTATCTGGACCTGCTAACACACAGGACTGGTAGTCTACATCACACTGGCTATTTCTTGATCTTTTAATCTTTAACACAGGCAATCTCCCACCAAGAAAGGGTGACCCAAAAAATAAGAAACACATTAACTGTCATTCATTCAATCACTGTCTTGCCAGAAACATGCTGACATGACAGTTCAGATGACCCTCCATACTGTAACATCCTCATTCCTCCTTCAGAGTCAGGCACTGTATTTCCCACCTCTAGTTGGGAAATACAGTGTTGGAGAGGTCTGAGCTTTGTTCAGACCTCTCCAACACAACTGTCCTCAAAGATCTGTTAAGTTATAACATGAATTAGGAAAGATCCTAGACTTCACCTTAGGTAACAGACAAATCAAATGCGATAGCAATTATGTGGACAAGGTAAACTATAGTGGAAAAATGAACATGTTATTAGAAGACAGAGGAACTTCAGTGCCCCTTAAATCTGGCTATCCATTTTTCCTGAATCCCTCCATAAATATTACCTTGGTCACACTCCAACAGCATGCTACACTTCATAAAATATCACTTATCTCCCTTTCCTCCGATATAATATTCACACAAGCCTGCTGGATGTACAAAACCTTTACCCCTACCCCCCAACCTTTTCTCAATCATTTTACAAAATAAAAACTGGTTATTGTGTTTTTTTTATATTTTGCCACTTTGTTTTTTTCCCCGGTTTGGATTTGACCACCCTGGGAAGAAGTGGGCAGGGGGGAAAAATGATGTTTATAATCAGGTACGCTTGCTACTTATATTTACACTTAGGTACCTACAATGCCTGTACAACTACTATATATATAACACCCCTCTGGGTTTTTTCTTTTTTCTTATTAGTTCTTTTTTGTTTATTTCCTCTTATCCCCAAGGGGGGAAGGGGAAACGAATTCTTCCCCCGAAAGCTATGGTGTTTTTTAAGAGGCGACAAAAAATCCCGGGAGGCAAGGGGGGGGAAAACCCCTTTACTGTATTATTACTAAATGTAAAGGAAAAAAAAATTTTCGTTTTATTGTTTTGGGCCACCCTGCTCGGTGGGATACAGAGGTAATAATAAAATAATAATAATAATATAATAATAATAAAAAATTAATTTTTATTTTTTATTATCCAGGGCCGATTCCCACCAAGGGGTGGCCCGAAAAAAAAACTTTCCCCATCTTTCCCACTCCTCACTGTTTGCCAGGGGGGTGTTTTTACCTGTTTTTAAACTGCAACTTTAACCCCCTCCTTCAAGTGCAGGCACGTACTTCCATCCCCAGGCTCAACCCGGGCCCCTGCCGATTTCCCTAAACCCCCTTCATAAATGTTTTTTGCCCACACTCCCACCGTCAAGTTTTAAAAAAACCATTTGTCCCCATTCCTCCTATCAAACAGCTCACCATACCTGCTGGAAGTCCAACCCCCTCGCACAAAAAAACCCCCCTTTCCCCCCCTCTCCCCAATCTTTCCTAGGCCCCCCTCCCCCGCTTCCTTCCATACAGATGATACACTCTTAAAGTCTTTGTTTCGCTCCATTCTCTTACTGTCCGAACCACCTCAAAAACCCTTCCTCAGCCTTGGACAACATTTTTTTGGTAATCCCGCACTCCTCCTAATTTCCCAAAACTACGAATTCCTGCTTATATTCACACCAACATTCCCCTCAGACATGACATCCCCCATGCCTCCCCCTTTCTCCTCGCTGCAACATTATCACCCATGCTTCACCCCCAATTTTTGGCTGGTTTTAAAACTTACATTTACTTTTCCCCTCTTTGCCCCCAAAGGAAAAAAGTTCTTGGTCCCCAATACTCTAAGTGCCACCATCCTCTTCTCCCCTACAATTTATGATTCACCTCTCTTTCATGACCCATCCGCTGCACGTCCATCCCAAAAAATCTGAATACATTCCCTCCTCCATACTCTCTCCCCCAATCTGATATTTTTTTTCATCACCCAATCTTTTTGTTATCTCATAACCTTTTCTCTTTCCTGTATTTTACTTTAATTTTTTCTTTTGCACACCCTACCAAATTCATCCCCCAATTCTGCAACTTTCTTTAGAATTCCCAAGAGCACGTGCATCAGCAAAGAGTAGCTGTGACAACTCCCCCTTTGTATGTGATTCTTTTATCTTTTAATCCACGTCTTGCCAAGACCCTACATTTTTTTTTCTTAAACCCCATCCAAAATATATTAAACAACCCCGGTGACAACACTCCTTTTTAAGGCCTACTTTTACTGGGAAATTTAATTTCCCCCTTTCCCAATACTCAAATTGAGCCCCATATCCCCGCAAAAATCTTCTGCTTTCAGTGACCTCCCCCACCCATCCCCTTTCAAATCTGCCCATTGCCCCCCTATCCACCCTTCATCGCTTTTTTCCCAAAACCATAATGCCACAAAGACTCTTTCCTTATCTAAATATGTTCACTTTTTTGTTTCACTGTAAACACCGGGGGCCACACCCCCCCACTTTCCTAAAACCCCCTTGTTCATTGCATCCCATTCTCCTCTTACCCCTTATTCTTTCAATTATAACTTACCATACACTTTTTTCCAGGGATACTCAACAGACTTATCCCCCTAAATTTTTTCATTCTTTTTCCCTTTGCCTTTATACAAAAAGGAAAAAATATGCATGCTCTCGCCAAAACCCTAGGTACCTTACCCCCTTTCCAACATTTATTAATAATTGCACCCAACCACTCCAAAACTATATCCCCCCCTGCTTTTTTCATTTCTATTTTATCCCATCAATCCCGGCTGCCTTACCCCCCTTTCATTTACCTCTGCCTACAAACTTCCCCCACCTCACAACTGGCTCTTCCTCACTCCTACAAGATGTTATTCCTCCTTGCCCTATACACGAAATCACAGCTTCCCTATCTTCATCAACATTTAACAATTCCTCAAAATATTCCCTCCATTTTCCCAATACCTCTAACTCTCCATTTAATAACTCTCCTCTCCTATTTTTAACTGACAAATCCATTTGTTCTCTAGGCTTTCTTAACTTGTTAATCTCACTCCAAAACTTTTTCTTATTTTCAACAAAATTTGTTGATAACATCTCACCCACTCTCTCATTTGCTCTCTTTTTACATTGCTTCACCACTCTCTTAACCTCTCTCTTTTTCTCCATATACTCTTCCCTCCTTGCATCACTTCTACTTTGTAAAAACTTCTCATATATATATACAGTGGACCCCCGCATAGCGAACGCCTTGCATAGCGAACAATCCGCATAGCGAACGCTTTGTTCGCTAAAATTTTGCCCCGCATAGTAGACAAAAACCCGCTCAGCGAACTTCGTCCGAGACGCGTCCAATGTGGGCCCTCAGCCAGCCTCACATGTGCCGCCCGTCCCATTTTTTACCAGCTAGCCTCCGCGGTAACATTCAAGCATACACTCGGAATATTTCGTATTATTACAGTGTTTTCGGTGCTGTTTGTGGAAAATAAGTGACCATGGGCCCCAAGAAAGCTTCTAGTGCCAACCCTACACCTCAAAGGGTAAGAATACCCATTGAAATTAAGAAAGAAACCACTGATAAGTATGAAAGTGGAGTACGTATCACCGACCTGGTCAGGTTGTACAAGAAACCAAAATCAACCATCGCTTCTATTGTGGGCAAGAAAACGGCAATCAAGGAAGCTGTTGTTGCCAAAGGTTTAACTGTGTTTTCGAAACAAAGATCGCAAGTGATGGAAGATGTTGAGAGACTCTTATTGGTGTGGATAAATGAAAAACAGCTAGCAGGAGATAGCGTCTCTCAAGCGATCGTATGTGAAAAGGCTAGGAAGTTGCATGACGATTTAATTAAAAAAAGGCCTGCAACTAGTGATGATGTGAGTGAATTTAAGGCCAGCAAAGGTTGGTTTGAGAGATTTAAGAAGCGTAGTGGCATCCATAGTGTGATACGGCATGGTGAGGCTGCCAGTTCGGACCACAAAGCGGCTGAAAAATATGTGCATGAATTCAAGGAGTACATAGAAACTGAAGGACTGGAACCTGAACAAGTGTTTAATTGTGATGAAACAGGCCTGTTCTGGAAGAAAATGCCAAGCAGGACCTACATTACTCAGGAGGAAAAGGCACTCCCAGGACATAAGCCTATGAAAGACAGGCTTACTTTGTTGATGTGTGCCAATGCTACTGGTGATTGCAAAGTTAAGCCTTTATTAGTGCATCACTCTGAAACTCCCAGAGCGTTCAGGCAAAAGAATGTCCTCAAGGATAATTTGTGTGTGCTGTGGAGGGCAAACAGTAAGGCATGGGTCACTAGGGAATTTTTCTATAACTGGTTACACCATGCATTTGCCCCCAATGTGAAAGATTACCTAACTGAAAAGAAATTAGACCT